ATTTAATTTTAATCCTAAAACGCAAAGACAGGATTTAGATTTTTGTAAAAGAGATAGGGAGAGTGTGAGAGACACTGTCCTTTGTCATAATATGGAAGTATTATATTTTTTTTTATAAAATAAATTTAAGGAATAGAAATATTATTTAGCATTTTTAATCGCATGCAAACATCATAAAAACAAGAATTTAATAAATAACTTTATCAAATAAAATACGGTTTGACATTCGTTTTTGCTAATAAAATTTGAAAAACAATAATAAAAATTATCAATTTCATGTTTTTTGAAAAATCTTAATCTAGACAAGACAATAATATTGTTAACTTAATTGAACATTGAATTCTGAAATTCATAGAGCATAAATACAGATTTTTAAATTTAATTGCGTTAAATGTAACAATGAAAATAATTTATTGCGGAATAAATTTTTCTTGACACAGTTTCAAAACACGCTGCTCGCCTCGTTTTTTTTTTTTTTTTTTATTTAACTAATGACATTTTCTTATTATTTTATAGAAAATTGTAGTTTTCATGTACATTTGTAACGCAAAACAATTCCAATTTTTCTCATTTTCGAATGTTGCACTACTGAAGCAGCAAGAATGACAAAAAAGAGTCGTAACATTTCACGTTCCCGGAGAATTGAAGGTTTTGAAAATGTCAGGAGATACGCCGTTAAGGAACAATGTATACAAAAATGAATGTAAGTAAGAAATCGGAGTAAAGTTTAAAAAAAAAAGAAAAATAAATAATGTACGTACGGATACGTATATGAATGAAATAAAAATTTACAAACATATCACCTGTCCAATACTTGAGGTACGTATAAACATTAGAATGCATAAAAATTATAAAAAAAAAATTTTTTAATTATCATGTATGGTAATTATAATATATAAAATTTACAATATCTATGCGTAACACGTACGTATAATAGTTCTTTATCCTTTTTTTTTTTTTAATTTTTCAACCTCACTTTCATATTCTAATTATCAATAATCGTCAAAAGTATTAATTCATTTGTTGTGTAAATACAGAATATATATGTCAAAATTGCATCATCGTCGAATGATTCGGTTAACTTAAATTTATTTGATAAATATAAATATAAAATTTGAAATACTATGCATTCTTAAATTGAGTATTCGAGTGAATAAAAATTGCTCATTCATTTTATCGCTCGATATACCATTAGTAAATATACTTGAAATTTAAGTTAGTATAACAACTATAAAATATAACTACTTAATTCTTTAATAATTGTAATTGTAATTGTCATTTTAATTATAGATTTGGCTTGATTTTGAATTGAACTTGGGATGAATATTGAATGGAAGTATTTAAATTAATGTATAAACCATTGAAGAAAAAGAAAAAATTAACGAATTACGACATTCTCGTATCAGAAATTTTAAACTAATATACGTAAAGTATAAAGAGGATTGTTAAATTATTCGAAAATTTTAGAAAAATAATGTCTTTAAATTCACCAGTTGAAATAGCTTAAAAGCTCTTCTTTATTCTTATCTTTTGCATAAAAACATAAGCATTATCAATCAGTAATATAATTGAAGTGGATATTCAATTAAGCGTGGGATTGTCGCGTGAAGAAGATAAAGTGCAGAGATTGCGCTGTCTGCTAACTCGCCTGACCCGAGCCTTTGAAAAACTCCGGTGTATTTTGGTACGGGGGGGCGGAGTTTTTTTTTTTTTTTTTTTTTTTTTTTTTTTTTTTTGATCGGCACGCCACTGCACTTTGCACCATCGCCGCTATACGTTACCTTAAAACCCTGAAGTGAGGGATGGGCGAGCTTGAAAGGCCAAAGAGAAGGGCGCAAAGAGGGAGACCAGCAGCAACTGCCCTCCTTGATCTACGGCTGAATTTCCTGCAGAGGCGATAGCATGAACCAGTAATACGTCTTGTAATAAATAATGCCGCGCGATGATAGGCGGGGGGAGTGGTGGGGGGAGGGGGTGGGGGGAGGGGGTGGCGGGGGGGATTTAGAAATAGTAGGACCACCGAGATGGAGCATGTGCACCGATTTCGCTTAGCCAACGCATATTGTTGCAACGTAGTCAAGCCGAAACATACAAATACATATGTAATTTTAAATAAAATAGACTTTTCCTGAGTGAAGTAATAATAGTTTGAGAGCTCGGCGATGCAACGATCAATTTACGCGACAAGACACGTAGCTTTGGAAAATTAAAAAATTCCACGACCTATATGTCACGAAGTGAATATACTTTATAAATTCGCCTATTTTTATCAATTTTATTTTTAAAATGTGCCTGTGTGCGCGTGCCCATTCTAATGGAAAAGACATTTTAATTATTAAAAATGAAGTATTTCAGCGTATTCTTACGCGAAATAAGAATTTTATATAACTCTATAATAAGGTGGAAGTTAATTTTTTTTCTTTTTTGTTCGAGAGTGAGAATGCCCCTATTTCATTCTTCAGAAAAAATAAAACAAGAATCATTTCAACATTAAAAAGTGAAAGTTTTATCTTACACCCGCTTGATATCATCCTCGCTTTCTCATACATAATAGGATGATGTAGAGAAACCGCTTTCATAACAAATTATTTGATAAATGAAAATGACTTAATAAAAGTCGAGTGCGGAAGAAATATTCCATAATTATTGGAGAGCGTTTTTTAGGCTGTAAAAATTTCGAAAATTTTCACTTGAATAGTGCATACATGTATGTATACATATATACGAGTCTTCAAAATTCTCAAATGCCTCGTCACTTGTAATTCCTCTACACATGTCCATTCTGCTAATGTTTAAATATCGGCTATAATTTTCTAGGCTATAATCATGTATAAGAGGATAAATGAAAAATAACGAGTATCGAAAGTAAATTTTTAAACCGAAAAACTTTTTTGAATTTTAACTAAAAATTTATAGCCGACTTGAGGTTCGTTCGGCGGACGGAATACGAACAATAGCGAAGAAACTGAAGTTAAATGAAGTATCGTTGATGCAAAAACAAAAAAGTTATTAAATACCTGTAGAAAAGTTGCCTACTCAAAAATATAGCTAAATATACTGAACAAATATTGATAATTAAAATAGTATAGGAGTGATTTATCAAAATTTATCAAAATTATCGGAGAATTTTACCGTGGAAGTAATTATAATAATAGAAAATTATTAAACAATTGATGGATTACAGCTGATAAATTATTAACGATCATGATTTAAGTTTTAATTATAATTGTGTTTTAAAACATTCATAATCTATTCGCAAATTCTGCAAATATTATATTATTAATAATAGAGATAGATATAAATTTATTCTAGTTTTTTATTTATTTATTTAATTTTTTTTTTTTTTTTTTTTTTTTTTTTTTTTTTTTTTTTTATAGAATTTTAAACCTCGTCATTATGCGAAATACAAGGTACACAAAGTACAAGGTTTGATATCTTTATAGTTTCTTAATACTACTGCTTTATCAATATTTATCGAATCTCCGTGAAATTATCATAGGGATATTTATGCGACTTAATACAAAATATCTAATAATAATAATGATGCATCGGAAGCGCTTCATCTCTTGTCCTTTCTAATTCTAATTATATATACGGTGGCGTTTCTGTCTCTAATTCCGTTGCAGCTGCAGCGCCAAGTTTCTCAACCAGTCATGTTTGAATTATCAGCATCGAGTGATTTCTCGATTATCATTGATAATCGCACACTAGATCAGTTTAACGACCCGTCACTGACGCACTGAGTTATATGTATCTCCTTTCAACACTCTCGGCAATGACAAGGCGCAACGACCGAGTACAGGGCATTGAGAAAGGATCAAAGTCGTCGAATGAAACACCTTAAGCTCTATATCTCAAAGTATTCTAAATGACCCACCTACGCGTATTATTATGGTAGCCATAATGTAAGATCACAGTGCATTGTGAAAAGCTTATCGAGATAACCGCTTGCATTATTCTTGGGTTATAAAATATATTTTATATCTTAATAAAATATCGGACAATATTTCATACTTGGATTTTTCAAATGCATAATTTTATCTTTATTCCCAAATAAATGTCTTTGTCCCGTTAAATCTCATATATACGTATTCGATCATTGATCGAATAATTTGCTGCCCTCCTCTTATGAATCCTCACATTTATCCTCACTCTCTTACTCGCGTACTCTCCTTACTCACTACTTAATGCAATAATATCAACAAAAGTGATTCGTTCCAAAAGTCAAAATTAATTTTTCTTATAATAATATAAAAATCAATTTTTCACTTTATTCGCTCATTCATATTTCAACTCCATGTGCCATGGAAATATTAATTTTAATGTGTGCTATTATAATTAGTGGTTGATTTGGTTTTTTTTTTTTTTTTTTTTTTTTTTTTTTTTTTTTATGAGTATTTGCAAAATATCTTTCCTAGACATTTTCTTACATTATTTTTGTACGAATTCATATTGTTTGCAATATTTCTTACAATTTACAGCTACTTAGAAATAAGCACGCAACACGATAGTTTTTATTAACAAAAAACGATTATAATTTGAAATAAATTTGATATATTGTAACAAACTTGTGAGATTGTATACACAATATATAAACTTTTTTTATGGACTTAGTGTAATAAACTAATTTCAAAACGCATAAGAAATGAAAATTTATCTCAAGCAATATGAAAGTATTTTAATTTATATAGTTCGATTGAAAATTCATGTATTTGGACTTTTTTTCATTCGGTTTTTACAATTGAATATTATTGAATAATTAGAGAGAAAATTATTTAAACCGGTCGTTTATTTTTGGATTATTTTAAATCTCATAACAATGTTTATTAAAATTCCTAAAATGAAAAAAATATATATAATATTATATCTAAAGATGTTAGTCTTCGGTATACTTTGTATATACAATAGTTTTAATTAATGATATTTGTACATATAAATACATATAAGGCTTAAAAAAAGTCTTTTTATTTTATTTTCACTTTTAATTTTACAGCAGCTGTTTATAATTTAATAGGCTTGTCATCGCATATCATTTCATTGTAATTTGGTAACTGATCAGATATTAACTGTATAAATTTCGATATTGGACAAAGACTTGGACAGCCAGGTATTTGCATTTCTTTGGGTATTGATTGTAATCCATCATAATATAAAATCTGTGAAATTAAATATTTATAGTATGGAATATATATATATATATATATATATGTGTGTGTGCGCGCGTGTGTGTGTAATTTATAATTTAAATTTTAAACATAAACCAAATACCTTGACAAAATTTTTATCCCGATATTCACGTAGTTCTATGACAATAGCACTCGAATATTGAGGTATGTGAGGTTTCCAAATCTTCAGAGTTTGTAAAACACTAGCAATAAATAATTCATGGCTGCCGTACAAAAATATTTTACGCCTATTGATACTATTATGTTCGATCTTATCTATCATATCATCGATAATTTTCCTTACGAGAGAGCCTAAAATTTTAAATAAACAATTGTCATTTATCAAGTATTATTATGTATCATTATGAACGACCAGACCAATGATATCGTATTGGACAATAAAATTCCATAATTATTATATTTATTGTGAAACTATGCGTTCCGAAAGAACAATCTATACGGCTATACTCGCTGAACTAATTTGAAACCTATAATTTATAAATTTAATTGAATTATATTAATATAAATGAATGTATTGTTGAATTCATATTTAAAACAATAGAAAATTGGCTATTCACTATTAATTTCAAAAGATACTCCAATAGTTTGATTATTCTAAAAGTTACAAGTGTAGAAGTAAGTGCAAAAAACATTTCCTGAAATTTTTTGAACGTTCATTTATTCAATTTCTTTTATATATCATTTTTATTTAAATATTTTCTAATTCATCGAATACATAAAACAAAATGTACTATATCCATTTACAGAAAATTACATATTTTATCACTTACATTACAAATCGCATTTAAAATTCAAACGAATGGTATTGAAAATTATTATATCGACACAGAATTCTTAAATTAATTACTTATTAATCTATATTATAATTAACGATATCAAAATTGTTCAAACGTAAGTGCTACGATGTGTTTCATTTATAATTATCCGAATACAAATTTTGTTTGCATCAGCATCAGTTGCAACGTCAATCTTTAATCGTAGAAGTAAAAGCTTCTGTTCTTCATTTTTTTTTGTTTTTGTTTTTGTTTTGTTAATTGTAAAATAGAACTATTATACGATAAGGATAAATATAAATGTACAATATAAGCAGGTACATTGTAGATTTTCACACGTACGTTGCAGTTGAAAAAATGGCGGAGGCTCGAAAATATGAGTGCGAGCTTCTATTGTCGAAAGGCAGTTATGCGAGAAAAGTAGAAAGTGCAAGACGTTTTTATTTTAAGTGCTTTTCGAGCGGAGATTACAATTTATGCAAAAAAAAAGTTCACGCAATGGGGTCATTTAAGTCGTTCACCTTATAAAGACGTACACCCCTGGAAATAGTCGCCTGAAAATAATTCTCCAAATTTTCTGATGCACGAGATCCAATCAGAAAATCCACTTTAATGGCGCGACTTGTAACGAATAAATTTCAAAATTCATACCATCCAAAGAGCAGGAAGTGTGGGCGACAAGGTATTATCTTCGGTAAGAGAAAGTGAATTGGCGATGGTACACATTCAATCGACAGCGGAAATGAAACTATTTGCGATTAATTTGCGCAATAAAATTTCATATTTTGATATTGCCCGTGAGTATATGAATGAATGTATAAATGAATAAAATCCAATATTGATTATTTATATTAACACAAGTGTTAGGCTGTTAACGATGAAGCGATTATTAAGAAAATAAAGATTTTTCATTACGGATTCTGTAAAAATAATCCCTTTCAAAGATATATAAAAAACCCTTAGATTTCGCGTATCCAAGCGGTCAGAAAAAAAAGTTTAAATAACTGCTCTTACCACCATTAACTTTCCTTGTCCAGTTCGTGAATTTATAAAAATCGTACTGTAGAAAGACTGCATTGATAAAGAAATCATTGGATAAAATATCCTTCATCCAGTATGATAATGATTGATTCATAGATTCCATTGCTTTAATTTTATGAAATAATTGAAACATATCCATAAAATCCTTTATTTCTACGCTTGTTAGCATGGTTAAGTTAAACATCAATTCGCCGTACGAATTTAAAATTTCTTGATATTCAGGTGTTGATTTGATATAATTATATTCTTGCTGAAATCTATAATGACAATTTTAACAATTATAATACAAGTTCTTGATTGTAATGAAACGTTGCGTGATTTTAGATGAATCAATTTCCCTTTTCTATACCAATTAATTTTCTATATTACGTTAAATGAAAATCATATTTAACTCTGTTAAATTTTTCACAACTACTTGGTAAATAATGAGTCTATAATAAAATAATTAACTATGTGTATGCACTAGGAATGTATACACGCGATAATGTGATTTGAAGATAAATTTCATACTGTCGCTTAAATATTATCTAACTTGTTGTAGTGCTATGTTTAAATAAAATTTTTGTCCAATAAAAATCACTCTCAACGATCAGATGTCGTCATACCGTGGACAATTAGTTGGAAATAAAAAGATGTCTTCATTCGCATTAGCATAAGAAAATGGAATTGGTAGCCAGGCTAATGATTCATGCCACCGTTGATGTTTCTTAGGTAAGTAAAGAGCAGCCAAAAGAAGCTGTAAGCTCAGTTTTGCTCTTCTGAATTCGGTAGAATGTGCAAAGATGGCAGCAGGTTCGTAAATGTCACCTAAGAAATCTCCGTATTTCTCACGAAGTATCTCACCAAGATAGTAAGCTCTTTGTCTGCCTCGCTGAAAAATTTTCATATTCTTTTTAATTTGCATACTGCTATTTGTCAGGAATGAAACATTAGATGATGAACGAAATTTTATGCTTTACATTTTCGGCAATTTATAATCTCTATTTATTAGGACTAATAAAAGCTCTTCCCAAATGGAAATTTGATTATTACGTTCAATCATAACATTCAAATTTAATGCACAATATTTGCAATTCTTTGAAAATAATTGCCACTTTCACCTATTATTTGATACATTCTTGTGCTATTTTAGCAATTTCAAATTGAAATAAAAAGAAAAAAGAAAAAAGAAAAAAGAAAAAAGTTTTATCAAATATTTCTTTTATACATATCATAAATTCGAGGTACATGAAGATCTGTTAATATATAAGAAACATTTTTCATATTCATTGTGTAAAAATTAAAATTCCTAAAATTCATATTTAGCTCATAAATATTTATAACTATTAGAGGAATGATTGTATTTAATAGACTGCTATAAGTATTTCTGCTTGTAAAGTGAAAATTAATTATTTTACTCGCAATTAGTTATATTACATGGAGAAATATTAGTTAAAATTCAATTTTAAAATAATAATTAAAGAAATTAAAATCAATGAGACATGATAATTGACATAGACACGTACCAAATATAGGAATTCGATAGCTATAATTTATAGTAATGATATGAAAAAAAAAAGAAAAAAGAAAAAAAAAATTAAAAATAAAAATACCACGTAATTAATATTTATGATTGAAGTTTTAAAAACTTGACGAATAATAATTTCCTTTCATTGCACTACGTCAAAAAAATTTTATATATTTCTTAAAATTATTAGTAGCTTACTATGAAATTAAATATCATATCACAAAATACCATTAAATTCTTAATAAAGAAACGATGATGCATTTTATTGATAGATCAAATTATTAATAATTAAATGTATTTTTCAATAGTTTTTCACATTATGATTAACGATTTGTAATTTTCAAATACAAGAAATAATAAAATTTTTCAAAGTACTGTAATTCCTGAAATTTTTTTATTATGCTTTATACAATATTTATATATTACGGTAAATTCCAGTCATATTTCCGTCATATTTGCACTACTTTAAACAGTTTAACAATTTCGCCTTAATTCAGTTAACTACTATTTGAATGCAGAATATCACAAGCGCCAACGACAATTACATATTTAATGACCGCGTCTAAAACACTCAACAAAAATGTAACGGGTGTAGTGCTTATAATAGTCATTGATATTATTTCATTATTTCAAGATTAGAAGTTGTTGAAAATATGTTTCATAGCCTTAGAGAAAAATCTGACATTCAGCAAATAATGACAGTATTAAAAAATACTTAGCTACAAATATTTTCCTTTGTTATTTATTAATAATTTATATAAATAAAAGTTCAGTTTTTATACCTTTCATCGTGCCCAATTATGTCTTATTCACAGTTATGAAATTTATAAAAAAATATTATGTTTGTCAAATATTTATTATAACAGATAGAATGATTTTTCTATAAAACGATAATTAAGTGTAAGGACTAAGTAAGTATGTGAAAATATTATAGCGTAAAATTTTTTATATTAGCATAACGAAGGACGAATAACAATTACTACTGTTTCGGAGTAAAAATTAAATATATAAACACAAATGGTTGTAATTGTTATTGTAAATTAACTTAAATAATAATGAAATAAAAAAAATATATAATTCTTTATATATGTTCATGTAAAAATTGATAGTAAAAGATAAATCATAGAATTATTTTATTTATTGGCAAAATTCAAAACAGATTTGATATATGCTTGCAATTATATATTGTTTACACTAATTACAATATGAAAAAAATATGGAATGTACCATATTTATCAATAGAGTATATCTGGATAGTTACTTACGATTGTTAAATCTCCGTCAGAGTCGTCATTCAAATCTCGATCACCATGTCTAAATATCTGTTTTATAATAAATATTATTTGTTTTAAAAATTAAATAAAAATATATAATTTTATATATAATATATTTTTAATATGTTAAAGTTATTATTTTTCACTAGAAATTGTTATATCTCCGTATAAATTTATCTTACAATATTCAGTAATTTTAATTGAGGATAAGTAAATCCAGCACAATGAATTACAAATAATATTAGATTCAATGTAATACAAAAATTAAATAACGTCATAATTATTATGGTAATTAATTTATATAAAAGTCAAATTTTATTAATGCTGTAAGAAATTTTCTAGTCGAACTTAGCATGAAATGCGAGTTTTCACTTAACCGAATTTATCTCGAAATCTTATCGCCAAATCTTATCTCCTAGACTCCAAATACATTTATTATTGTTATTAATTTCAAAGCAGCAAAGATAAGTGCTTCTTTTATAGTAATCATTAAGAATTCGAGTATACGTTGACATCTGTTATCAATATTTATTTTATGAAAAGCAAAATTTCAATGCATTTTCAAAATCAATGTATAATTTGACGTCGGCAATTCTTTACATAAAACTGAATAAACAATGCAGAATTAAAATCTATATAGACAGATATTGATATATATTTATATATATATATATATATATATATATATATATATATATATATCGTATAATTTAAATATTTACTTTTTTAATTATTTATAAAAAAAATCTTCTGTCTATATTCCATTGAAATATTCATTTCATAATTATTATTTATAAAATGAGAAATATTGCAAATTAATGTAATAATTTATAAATGTATGATTTGTAAAATTGACTTGCGACAAATTAAACGCAACTAAATCAAATAAAATATTTTATAATAGTAAAGTTGATAGCACGATAAATCTAATCACGTAAATCGAATTGAAAAAGACAATAAATCAGATATAAATATAAACAAGACATAAACATGGAAATATAAAATAAAGAATGAAATAGAAAGCAAAGTAAATTAAGTAATATGAGATACTGTCAAATAAGATATGAATTTCAAGTATAAAAGACTGATTTATATCATTATAAAGAACTATGAATAGAACTCATTGAAAGTATAAATAATTGTAATAGAACTATTATTAAATATCGTTTAATCATTCAGCGTAGACATGCAAACAAATAGGAATTATTAATTATATTCAATACAATCATTCTTGTATATTTTCTAATATCTATCAAAGCTTAGCTTTTAGCTAATTTATGTTAAATATACGTAATAAAATATCCTCTAGTTATTAACTCAATTAATTAATAATTAATAATGAATAAAATAGTACTTAAAAATAACATTATTAAACAATCTTTCAAACAATTTCAAAAATTCTAAATCCTTTATTCAAACAGAGTATGCATACTGTGCTTCATGGTTTATTTCGTAATGTATAAATCTCGCAGCATTTTCCAATTTCAAAGACATAAATACAAGCTCCACTAATAATGTTTATTAAATAATTAATTCCATAATAATAATTTCAAGAATATTTATGTGTGTATATAATTATATTAATAGCTATAATACAATTATTGAAAATGTACATACACACACACACACACACACACACACACACACATATATATATATATATTGATTTAATGTCTGTTTTAAATAGCATAAAGAAACATCCATCATTTAATTATAATAATTACTGAGAAAGAAATACATACAATTATATAGGTGTAAATATAATTCGTTTGATACGACAATTTTTCACGTAATAAATAATATTTGAGCGATATAAACTAAAAGAGTATTAAAGGATTATTCAACGAGACATACGAGAACTGGCATTCATGTGTTCAGAGATACTATTGAATACTTTATCATTTTACTGAAATCTTATAAATTATATTACCTCCTTTTTTATATCTTGAAACTTAGTAAAGATAGAGTATTTTATAAGTCAAATTAAAAAAATTATAATTTCTATTCGCGGTATCAATTCATGATAAAGTTAAGCTATGCAAAAATTAATTTACGTTCGTCAAATCAGGCAGTATTTGGAAGAATTTGATATAATCAACTATGTATAGAAGGATTTGTCTACTTATTTCTCATGGATATTTATGCACATTAATATAAGAATTTGTTGACACACACTTAATTGCATATAAGTAAACGAATGATTGGAGATAAAATGTTTCGTATCGAGTAACGTGAATATCGATATGTGCAGAAACAAAAGTAATAGTCCGAATGTTTGCCCGTGAAACGTTGCACATTTGTTTATTAACAAATTTTAAAAAACAAAGTATGAAATAAATGTTACATATGGTACGAATGATATAAATAATGAATAATAAAGGACGCGAATGAAGTAATAATCGTATTGAACAAAAAGCGATATTACGATGACTAGTTTGCTAAAATTGAAACTCAACCATTATCGTTCCTTCCATTACTTATAGTTGATGAATTTCTCTCTTAATTGTACATTTATTAACCGGTCGAATGTCTTTTTGTCCATGAAACTCTAAAACTTCAATAAATTTGCATATATGATGTAATACTGCACAAGTGAAACTAAATTCTCCATTATCTTCAATAACCATCAATGAACATTTAGTACATAACTTGTGATTAATTGAAAGTAATAAATTCAATAATAGAAGTTTAAAAAATTTATAAAATTCAATTTGTTTTTTGCAATAGTTATATGCATACATATGTGTATACATATACATATACACGCGCACGCGCACACGCACACGCACACGCAAACGCGCACACATTAGTTATACCGTTTAGATAATGAATAAATAATGAAGTAATAAAAAATGTAAATAATCAAAATGTGCATAATAAGAGATCTGTAAAATTAAGTAAGCGATTTATTGATACTTAAATTTTTTTTTTCAATAAAAATGAATAATCTTTCAATTACAACAGTTCTTCATTTTATCTTTTAACTTTAATCCCATACGAGATACTATAATGTTCACCATATTGATTATTTTTACTATTTTATTTCACTAGACTATCCATGACAATCAAGCTTACTTGTATGAAATTTATAATAATCCTACTAATAATATACTGTTTTTATCCTTATCAACTATGGGGTTCTTATTTATAATTTTGCATAAATTTTTTAATTCTACCGAAGATGAATATTTATGAATTATCAGATTTCAAGTTTATAAATATTTTTACTAGTTCTATTTGTTCCACGAATTTTTGAAAACGAAGGAGACATGTTACGTTGCTTTATCTTTTCACTTATTCAAGTAAAATATTAGTAATGCTATTATTATAATATTATTATAATGTCAGTTAAGGAAATCTATTAAAGATAATAAACATTTTTTTTTTTAAAGATAATAAAGATAATAATAGCTTTAAAAAATGTATAACCTCAATGAACCTTGAAATATTTTCTCAGTATAGTAATTGGTAAAAAATGTTTAAATATTATTTAAAAGAACATAGTTATTGGAATATTAATTATATTAATTAATAACGCATATTTTGATAACACTATTTTATAAATACTATTTTGTTATAATATATTCTAGCTTTGCACGAGTCATATATATGTGTAATATATAATATATCATAGTTCTCTTTAATTTTTAATATCACTTCACTAATTTCAGGACTAATAATAATTTACAAGTGTTCGATTGTTTATTTACTCTAGATCAATGCGTTCCTAATTACATTGATAATTTGCCATATAATCATTTTTTTTTTTTTCAAATTTGATAATTTCAAAAACTAATTCATAAAAAATAGCAAATTTGAAATTGCATTTCCAATATTTTTATAAAATATTAGAAAATAATTAGTTGGCATTTAATATTTACATAGGGAAGAAATCCAAATAATTTAACACCAATAGGTAGCTGCCGACAGGTTCAATTACTAATTATATATTACGAAAATGTGACAAAGGTTACGATATAATAGCACCTTATCCGCTTCGAGATATTCCAAAAATTTTCACTACAAGGAGGATGAAAAGGTATGGGAATCAGGCCGACAATGATAACCTGTCTTTCTCTAAGTAGCGCCGCCCATAAGTCATATTTATGTGCATCTGCGGATGACACTCTTTATTCTTTAGTCGGAGTTTAGTCGGAGTTTCTCACTCACACGCCGTTTGTTTTCATTTTCCAAAGAAATAAAGGTTTATCAAATTTAGTCACTTTTACAAATCTTATAAACGCATGCAAGTGCGATTTTATATATTTTAACCTCCTTACTTCGACTTAGTAATTCGTACATATTGTTCCTTGTAAAGAAATTTTATCAATGTCTAAAATATACATTAATTAATATATAATTTTTGCAGTTATATAAATACCTTTAAAACATGCTTATATTTATATAGAAAATGTGGACAACTTTTAATTAATTGCCTCTATAATTTTTATAATTTACGATAATTATAAATTTGTTCGATCTTTTAGCTATTAATTAATTATAATTATAAAATTCAATGAATACATTTATAAAATTTATTGTTTATCTTAAAATAATACAAGACAATTATTTATATATATCGTGTACAGGCATGTGAAAATATTTTCATAAGATATTTAATGATAATTTTTATTGTTGCATTAACATTTAAATGCAATTCCTTACTCACAATAATCGATATATTAATTATTGAAATATTAAAACTTGACTTCTCAAGTATTTCAAGTAATAGAATTTCACTCAAGTTTGGAGGCCAATAATAAATATATTAAAGTATATTGTATATTATTTAGTATTTAATCGACGTTTACATGAAACTGATTAATCTCAAGATTAATGAAATTGATAAAAATGAAATAAATAAATAAATAACTGTCGAAAATAATGATGTTAAATGATTAATCAGCCTTAAATATTTGTCGTGCATACATTTATCGTTGTATTCTTCTTCATATACACTCACCTACAATTATTATAAATGATTAATTATCGATGATATTTGCATGAATCGAGCATTATTAACGAAACTTTTGCATGAATTAAACAGAAAAATTCGACTGTAAAAAAGTTTTCAAGACCTTAGATGTTAAGGTATAAAAATTAGTTAATTAATTCGCTCGAAATTTTGAATTAACAATATCATTTCTTGCAGTTTAACATCTTGGAGCTTAACTAGACTACACAATGCTGCTCGTAATTAACGAAAATTCTCTTCAAAATATAATAAGAATTGTCTGAATAATTTAAAATTCAAATTTAAAGTATTATTA